ATAGGGAAGGCCTGTACCCCAGCACTGCGGACATTCATAGGCTGGTGATGATGTAATGTAATAAATTACACACCCAAAACTTGCTACTTGAATTACTACGTTAATATGAAATTTTATTTGGTTGTTCATTTCATACACAAGGAGTTAATTATAAAATAAGAAAATGAAATGCCTATTTACTTCCATATTTCAGTTTATTGTCTTTAGCCCAATTTTATCCGATTTTGCCAAGTTTCCTATCGAGTATTGACAGAAATGTGTCGCTCACAGTACCTTCAACTAATGACTTTTAGTTTAGTGTTTCTTTTTTTTAATCGTTCCTTATTTACAAAAATATATGCTTTCCACTGAACAGGATTTAACAATTTAAAATCATATTAGGTCCGCACAAAATAATAATTACGTTTGCGTGTCGCATGCGGTCACGACATTTTTTTATATGTATTTCAATACAATGTAGCGACAATAGCGAGCGCCTCCAGCACGGCCGGCTGACACGACATCACCATTAGAGACTTGTTCAAACAACATGCCATTACTTTGTAACAACATACTTTAGGTACACTAACCTTTATATCCTGATAGAGGAATTCAGGTGCCACAGAGGAAAAACATTTCGATTGTAACGCTATTTGTTCATGTGTGGAGTATGAACAAACATCTGGTACGTAACCAACGATGTAGAGATCCGAATGAATACGGCTTTGTTAAATGTCTGAAGCAATTACAAAATGCGAAAGCTTGTAATTAGTTCAAAAATAAAATGTTTCTTTGGAGCACACGTCTGTGCATTAGAAGCAATATTAGATGTTTTTGATTTGGAGTCAGGTACCATTTGAGAAGAGAATGTCTTGCGCTAGGAAGTTCCGCTCTTCTATACCTTACACTATTAGTAATAATAAGTTTTAATTAGTCTTAGCTCATAAATATTACAAGTTAAGGCTATTGACAAGCACATGTGAAACCAGAAAAACTATTTAAATATACGACATGGGAACTTTTTATCGAGTAGAATCGGTAAGAAACTCAGCAAGAGTTGTTAAGTTTGAAACAGTTAAATTTTGAAGTTATGTTACTATATCTTGACAAATTATTTATTATTAGTGATACAACATGTTCGGTATTTTTTAATTATTTTAAAAATGCTGTTATGCCCGCATCTGAATTATCGTATAAAGGCAACGCGAGGCAACTCTGAAATTTATTGTGGTGCAGTGTGATTTATCAGAAATGGCATTTTTAGAACGCTATATCGGTCCTGACCTGACCCACATCGGCGAATATGGAGGCCCGCAGGTTTTTGTTCCGCTCGCATGATAGTTCCGTCGGCACGACGGCGGCGGTACCTACTCACCAAACGACGATGAGCAACCGCTGCCTGATGATAAAATATTGTTCCATAACAACAAGAAAAATCTCATCGGGTTCATATTTCCGCCAATTATTATATTTATTTAAGTCAACAGACAGATAAGTCTTTATATTTATTATACATAATGTATAATGGTTCAGTATAAACCTATTGTTTTAAATATTACCATTTTGTCTTCATGTACTGTGAATTCGTTTTTCTGTGATTCTTTCATTAATCTGTTGACGAACCACTAACGAGTCGTCAAACACGACCTAATATATCTATGTGTGGCCCATTGACTATGAACGGAACGGCTCACTAATTGTGCTGGGCGCACAATCAAATATTGACGGTAGAACATTCACAAATAGGTATAAACCTTCAAATTTAACAGCTGACTCGCTGGACCATTCAGTATCGATTGTGTGTGGCCTAAATTTATCAAATATTCGAGAGTTTTAATCTTCCTGAATGCTTTAGAAAAGCTATTTAATGATTAAAATTATTCAAGAGTCGGACAAAGTTAAGGATACTTTACATCGATCAAATAAATTTTTAAATGGTTTTAAATACTGTATGATAACGTTATTAAGGTATATTCTAAAGCGTTATTAAGAGCTAGTTTGAAACAAATAAAACATACGATACGGTAGCGATACGTATCGTTTAGTTTCAACACACATATAATACTTTGAGTTATTGTTCATTTTTCACCTAGCCAAATCAAAACCATTTATTCAGTCTAGGCTTTTATAAGCATTTTTGATCTGCCCTACGAACAAGAACACATCGCAAAATAATAAACAATAAATCTTCAATTTATATAATCCTTCAGATCACGCCTGTCGTGAACTATATAAACGAGAGCAAAACTATTTTCTACTTTGTCTTCGAGTGATGTGATTGCACTATGGTATGCGCAAGCGCAACACGGGTGAATCACGCGGTCGCGACCTCGACCGGGCTACAGGCGGCGGCGGCGAGTGAAAGTGCTGCCTTGTACCGCTGACCGACTCGCGGGGGTTGCCCCAACTAACTTACGTCATAATTGTACCTCGTGCATTTGTGAGGTGTTCCAAACCGCATATACGGGTCGTTCGTCTACTACAAATCAAACACATTAAACTGTAAAAAAAATCTGATACCTACTAATACTTTTACTAATCAAACACAAAAAAAAATGATACTAATTTTAGAAAAACAAAAGTTGATTGTTTTGTCCGTAAGAGATAAAAACAAAATAACTGGACCAATTAAAAAAATCTGCAAAATTGGTTCCGAAATTTTAATTTTTATAAAAGCATTTGTTTAAAAAAATAGTAAATGTCTTAACACTCGGCACTACCATAATCATGGACTACGCGGGTATTAAGGGTATGCAGACCTTTGAGTTATAATAATGATATTCAAGATCTAAAGTTTATGAAATTAATATTATTAATAATAGGATAAGATAATTCTATTTAATTTAAAAAATATCCTCCATTATAATGTGCGTATAAATGAGTCAGATTTATTTTATGTTGATAGTTTGTGTTTCGGGGAAATATCAACTGGCCTTTTTGGTTATATAATAATATTTATATATTACTATACAATAAATACTTATTAACGAGTTTCTCTGTCGTTTAAGGGTTATATAGCCAGAAAGAAATGACCCTGTTATGCCTTTACTATCGCTTGAAATATTCACTGAATGCGTGTACGAAAGAAAAATAAAATCAAAGTCAAAGTCAAAATAATCTTTATTCAAATAGACTTCTTAAAAGTACTTTTGAATCGTCCAACATTTTTTCCCCTACCACTCGTTCAGGACGTCTTTTGGCTGATAAGAAGAACGAGCAAGAAACTCACCAGCTCTAATAAGAGTAATGACATTTACAAAAACCATGTCATTACCAGATCAATATATTATAAACGTGGATAAAAAAAAAACTATGGTCTTATAATGATAACATAATCATTTAATAATAATGGAAACAAGATAATGAGTTTAGAAGTAATCACCTATCCAGTTGCTGGATCATCTCAAGTCCAAGCGTTCTTATCTGTTATATAATCGGATACCTTATAATAAGCTTTTTTAATAGTAGATTTAAACGGCATGATATCTAATTGTTGTATTTTGCTTGGGACCTTATTGTAGAAGCGCACACAAAGACCCTTGAAAGAGTTATTAACTTTTTGCAGTCTAGTGACAGGCACCGTTAATTTATTTTTATTTCTTGTATTAAAATTGTGTACATCACTTTTTATAGAAAACAAACTAATATTTTTACTTAATTCAAAATCAGCTGTAACGATTTGACAAAGGTCCACCTTCATTTTATTATAATCAGTCATACAATTTTAATGTTAATAATTATGCGGTGTTACGGAAGTCTTTATAATTTCGTCTTAAAAGAACTTATTGACTTCAAACGAAAGGCATATTTGATTTATATAAAACATATGAGGAAAAACGTATTGTTACTACCTTTATCAGATATTATTTTTACTGACATTATCGTGGACAATTTTATATTTCTTATGTTTGTTCATATATTTATTATTATTAAAAGAAGAATTACGAATAATAAATATCACGTATCGAAGATTTCACTAGTTTTCCTTATTTACTTACTCTGATATATGACTCAAATATTTATATAATAACAAATGTGTATGAACGTTTTCGTGTTTCACTGTCATCGGTAAATTCTAAAATTTTAAAAGTAGTGACTGCCTACATACTGCTAGTGGAGATGAAAAATAGAGAGATGAAAATGAGAAAATGGAGAGATGAAAAAATAATTTTACCAAACACTTTCCTGTATCTCTGCTTCACGTCGCAACCAAACATGTTGGTCGAATCAATTGTGTGGAAATAGTTCAGTTAGAGGCGGAAGCTGAAGCACTAACCAGCTTCAGCACCATTTTTGGGGTAAAAAGTAACTTATATAAAAACTACATGCGCTACTCCTGTATAATATTAATATAAAAAACAGTCTTAAGAACAGGCGGTACATTGTAACATTAAAAATCTTTACCAATTTTAATGGATATCTTCTCTTCTCCTGTGTATTTGCTTTGATATAAAAATGTTCCACTGTAGAGAACGTCCCTTAGCCCATTGTTTTAATTATAAAACTAGATAACTGATTGGTCGCCAGGTGCCGACATGTCGTTCCAAGGCGAGTACGCGGCGCAGATGCTCGGTCTGTCGGGGGGCGCGGAGGGGGGCGCGCGGGGCGAGGACGCCGCCTGCCCCCCCGCGCGCCCCGCGGACCCCGCGCCGCCCGCGCCCGCGCCGCCCTCGCCCTTCAGGAAGGAGGAGAAGGAGACCAACCACGTAGCCAACAACAAGTTCAACAATGTGAGTCGTCATCGTCAGTGTATTTATTGTGTAAAATGTTGGGGTGCAAGACATCTCTCACCCTCATCCCCAGGTGAGAGTGATCCAAAGATGTACCTTACATCGTGGAATTCGCCCGGGCGAGTCCTTCGGGTGGAATTATTATGTAAAGATCCCCGGAAGACTACCCATCTTCTATGAGTAGTAAATTTACTACTATCTCCTATATTCTTTTATGTATCGGCAACGTGGATTGACACGTGAAAAGGGCAATAATTTGTGCTGTCCAAGAGTTCGAAGGCTGCGGTCCGACAAGATCTCCCACTCTGTTTCAAGAGTGAAAGGACTTGGAAGAATGGCACATGTTAGATTTTGTGCGTTTATATTAAAGATTTAATGTATCGTATGTTTTTATTGTTAGCAGCGGTATCCGAGCGGCGTGGGCGGCGTGGGCGGCGCGGGCGGCGCGGGCGGCGGCGGGGAAGAAGAAGGCGTGCTGGACCTGCGCGCGCGCGAGCCGTCCGTCATATCCGTCGGCTCGCAACACTCTGGCGCCTCCGAGCCCGCCGGGTACCTGGACGCCGTCAGGTCATCCTCACTCTACACCCCCTAGTCTCTGCTCCCTCTCTATAATCACAGTACTGCAGCCGCATAAAATTATTTCAACAATCGACGACGCTACTTATAGTTTTATTTCTTGCTGATTTTGTCTGTATTTATTTAAACTTAAGTAAATATTTTCACTTTTTGTCAAAAGGTAAAAGTTTCTTAACATGACAGAAACTTGGCATATATTATGGATTTTTTCTTTTCATTATTAAATACTTGAATACTTCAGCCGTCTTATATTTGTTTTTGTAAAGTAGCAACACTGCAATCGCGTAAGTTCTGTATTAAAATAGTATCCGGTGTACGTTACAGATCGACCGTTTCCGTATACTCGGGCAACTCGAACAGCAGTTCTGACCGGGACATACTGGACCTGTCGATGCCGGACAAGAACTCGATGACGGAGGTGTGCTACGTGTGCGGGGACGAGTACAAGCGCGGCACGCTCTACAACCTGCACACCAAGGAGCCAAAGGACAAGGCGGTGAGATATACAACCGCGCTAAAGATTGACCGTGCATGACCGTGCAATACAACGCGAAAGTGGAAGGGAGGACGCACCTATATCGCGATCAAATTGATCGTGTGTTATCGGTGGGTGTACAGTACAAGCAAAATCAAGTATTTTACCGAATTATTTAGCGATGATGTCACAAAAAGTAGTATTTTACCGAATTATTTAGCGATAATGACACAAAAAATCCATTGGAAATATGAAAATTAGCTCAGCTTATTAGACTTAATAAGAAATAATTTTAAAAATAGCAGTACCTCTGCTACCTTAACGGCTAAGAGATTTGCCGTTAAGATAAGATTTATTATCCTTATGAGCTTTGAGTCAAGATACCAGATTATGTTATTGAGTGTACTTGGGTACGACAAGTAATTTCAAATATAAAACCTGATGAATGAGTTAAAATTAGCGTTCATAAAATACACTGGGCTCACAAAAAACAACAATGCAAAATATTAAAACAAACTTTATTTAGGTATCATGAAATATTACGTAAATATTTCAAATTTATCGCAAAGGTTCTTTTAAATGGTTGAATTCTTATTTATTTCCTAGTATTATATTTGTCGAGCGAATTGAATCGAGATTTCTTTGAAACTTTCAGAAATAATATTTAAGGCTTCAGAGTTTCCTTCAAAAGGAAAATTAAGGGAAAATAATAATTACGTAAGATACGATTATAGCCGAACGTTTCATAAGACTTGAAATGTATGATTTGAAATCTAGATAATGCTGAACTGCTACTAAACCCTCACTAAACAAGCTATATTATAATAAATTATTTAAAGTAAATTATAGCGTATGTCACCCGCGTATGATGTAGTTTCCCGTAGGTGAATATATTAGTATAAAAAAGTAACATTTTTATTTCATTTCATTATATTTAATCAATTTTGAATTCACAAAGCTAAAATGGAAAATATTCTTAATGAAAAATGCTTAATTTGATTTGTTAGCAGATATTAAGAGTTGGTGAGTTGTGTGATAGAAATCTTTTGAAGGTGGTGCAATCAGTTTTGCCACATTATTAATAGTATTTTGAGACTTTAAACTATAGTCGATACTGCAGGTTTGCCAAATATCGGCAATATCGGTACTACATATTTTGTATTATCAAAATATTAAGAATGAGTCTTTGCTTTGATGTCAATTTTCGTAAGATTGTCCTTAAAAGTTCTTAAATAATTTCTTATCATTCCACTGCCTTTCAAATATTTACGGAATATAACAATAGGGATGATGACTAATTTTTGTTTGTTTGTCCGTCAGGTAGAGTGTTAAAAAATATTAAACATGTATTTTTTTCGTAATCATAAAATTACGGCGTTACATTGGGTTGAAATTTCGCATGACGTCACGTTAGAGTACGTTTTCTACTCAACTGTGACGTAGCGAGCCCCCAGTCCTCAACTTTAATGCCTGTTATCCAAGCTATTTCTTGTTAAATTGAAGTAAAAAAAAAATGCGTATCTAATATTTTTCTATTATCTGACTGACGGACTAAATAGAATTGCATTTTTTTTACCCAGTCATCATCCCTATTATATATCAAATATAACAATTCAATTATCTCAATAATACCATATTATTGATAAACTATTACTATAGCAGCAACATTTAATTGATCAGTGATCGATATTTGTCAATTTTTAGCGAATAATTATCTGCAAATTTAGTTCTCTTAACGTTTATTTGTAGAAAAATTTACACGAATACGATAAGTGTTCACTATTTTTAGATGATGCAAGATTATTTCATTATTACAGTATATACTTCCAGAATATATGTTTATTGATAAGTCATATTACATACTGTCTAATGCAACTATTGAATTTGTTTATCACGTGTTTGTCGGTAGTAAATACTTGTGCAAATTATACGTCAGCCACACTAATATTATAAATGGGAAATGTGCTAGTTATTGTGTGATCTTTTTGCGTGGTGGGGAGTAGAGAGTCTAAGGAGTGCCGTTTATTTCAGTTCCTATATATAGCTGTTATAATTTTAAACTGAAATACAATATACTATCGTATTGTACCAACGATGTACAATTAATCTTGACATTTTCAATATCTACTTACAAAATAAAACAGAAAGTCGTGTTCAGTTTTCTATAAATTGTAATCAGCCACGAACTGAGTAGCGCCATCTAGTCAACTTTTACGGAACTCTTTGTACTGATTAGTAATTTCTGTTTATATTCATCAAAATCCTCATTATAACCACAAAAACAAATGGAATGAAAGGAATCTGGTCCTATTATAGAGTTTCAATGGTGATAATTTATTGACTTTTCGGCCTGTTATTATGCATTATATCATTTCAGCTGTTACCGTTAAAGTCTTGTCTTCTTAAAACTTCCCCAGTGTGCCACTAGATGGCACCAGGTGTTACAAGTTTTAAATACGATGATTTTTCATCGTCCCTTTTAATTAGTAAAAGTCGATCGAAAGAATGGGTTTAATTTAGTAAGCTAGCATGTTATCACGATGCTACATGACGTAATTGTCAGTAGCCGTAGAATGTGTAAGGAAATAGTATGAACGCATTCATAGGGGCAAAACCTCAATGTGAGTTACATGTTACTTTCCGTGCATGAGTAGCTCACTCGTCAATTACAAGATGTCTACATTTCAAGGATAATCTATCGCTGCTCCATTTTTCTGTCACTGGCGTTACTTTGAAACTTTCTCTAATGTACGCATTCTAAATGTTGTCCATTCTCGTCACTCCTCACATCCCTCCTCGCATTTCAGCTACATGCAATCGACTTTCATCCATTCGCTTTAACCGCTTGATACGATACTACATGGTATATACGAGTATCAAAAGTATTTTCAAGTAGGTTAACCTAATTCTAAACAATGTTGTGTATACCAGTTATTGACTGTCATGTAGGTCCTGTACAGTTATTCCTGTATGTAAAAATAGTATCTTCATATGTATAGCTGTTGGTGTACTTTAAAAAAAAAAGTAAAAATCAAACCTTAAAAGTAAAAATCAAACTTTAAAAGTAAAAATCAAACCTTAAAATTATTATCATATTTCATACTTATATCGTCGAACCCTGAATATGACCGCTTTATACATAAGCTGAATAACATTCGCACATCCAATGTTACAGTGTTTAGTTGTTTCGCTCGGTCTATCACCCTTTTGTACTGACATTCGACCCTCACGTTTTAAAGTATTCAAAATATATAGATATGAAACGCCATTATCGGCCAACCTATGTTAGGGGTCATCAGATTCGGATTTATCCGCCACACATCCGGCTATAGATTGACGATGACCGCTACGTTTTATCTTTAATTAATAATAGGATAAATACATCAGACACAATTTGTAGAACTCTCATAAAAAAATAAAATTCTATCTATCTTATATCTATCTTCAAACCTTTGCAAACGTTTTTCGCCTCCTATGTTCCATTTACCTTGTTTATAAGTTTCTATCACCCTTTCATTACTTTAACTAAATTAATCACTATAAAAAATAAGTTGGTGGTATTGGACTGAGGATGGTTTCTGTCTTTTATTGTCGTGAAGCATTAACGACTCGCTTGCCTTTGACGTCATAGTCTATATATCTGTCCCTGTCTAGTCAAAATTTAAACGTTGAAACATTGAGTGGATTATTTTCTTATATTATTTCTTGCAGATTGTTGTTTGAATTTTCAGTGTGCATAACGGAATAAAAAATGGATATTCCCTATTATCATCAACTAGAGCTTTAGTGTTCGATGAAAAAGTGGTTAATGTGTGCGCTTATGATGGACCACTTACTTTCAAATGGGTGACAAAAAAATTAGGAATGATAATTTTTATCGCGCGTTAGTTTTATTGAATTTGGCTGTGACCTCCTGGCGGCATGTCGTTCGTGAACACTCGGAACCGATTATTTTTATTTACCGGGCTTTATAACATATTGTAAGGCCCGGTACACACGTGTCTGCATGTCTGAAATCGATATGTGCTGTGCGATCGTAGGATATGGTACATGCTTGCAATATGGAAAATGCATATTTAGTATTTTGAGCATGTAGCTCAGTAAAGTCTCGTGTTGACATCTATCTCCTCGACAAGAGACGGCAAAACGGAAGCTTCAAATTTTTCTTACATAGTCAGGAGATTGCGCCACGATACCTGCGTCGCGCTTACTATGTTTCTACGCTACTTTACAGTCTTGAACTGCGGTTCCCGAGCTACCAACACCCAGCTCGGAACGACACAATTTGCCTTGAAAGAAAGAAAGAAAATACATTTATTGATCACATAGGTTAATACAATAATGGTTTAACTTAAAGATAAAAACATTTATTAAAAGTAGTGGCCAATCAGGACTCTGCCTCAGCATAAACCATACCAGTGTAGATTACCCTGATACGGCGCTGGTTATTCTGGCAGAGCCTGTGTAGCCTTGCCTTACTAGTTGCTTTCACCAAGTAGGACTGTAACCACCTTCCGCTCCTACAGCGTTATGGCTCATTAATGCGGGCGAGTTCTGTTACCGATTTTCATTCGCCATTGGCTTATCGAGCAACGGCAATGAGTCCACAAAAATCGCCCGCCGCATACGCGCAGCACTAATTGTCATGTCATTTGTAAAAATCTGTGCCGCTTGGTTAAAGACCTTCCTTAGGATCAACGCTTGCCGAGATAAGCAGAGAGCGGAGCATTTAATATAATAATATAAAACAACAATGTAATATCAACTTTATTTTCGCATTCGTAAAATTCAAAATGTGCGAACGTACTCTCTTCTTATCGATGACCTTAAAGAAGTTCACAGATTACACTGACTTTAAGGTAAGGTAACTGACATTGTGAACTATTGAAATATGATCCTTATATCTTGCAGCTTACAGATCAATTTCTACTCCACGCAAGGGAATTCATTCAATTAAACGTTAAAATTCTATCAGGAACAGTATACACATGAACAGTATATTGTTTTTACTTCGGATGTATCGGTCGATCCAAAAACAACTGTGCGCTTTATTGACGTAGCAATAGACTTTATTTTGTAGTGCCAACTAAGTATTGTATTTATGTAGGTAACTGACTGAATAGATATACGTAAATCAGACAATTTCATACATGTTGATCAAATCCTAAAGTAAGCAACTAAAGCCTTTGTTTTATGGGAAAGTTATAGTATGTCTTGTTGCCCCGATCAGTGTCAATATTAAAAAGAAAACACATTTTTCACATGGTTATATATTTCGTATATGCTTTATTATAATTTTAATATGTACCTCCTAGAATGTGACGTCATTGCCGTCCGTCTAGCAAATAAATTAATTTCACGCCGCTATCGTGCCATCCAAGAGTTATCCGCCGTGGAAAATATCTGCCGGCTGACCTTGCCCGGGGGCTATCGGCGGGTCAAACGGTTACACAGACGGCGATACAGTCGAGTGTTTGTTCTTGTTCATGAATGCCTATTATATCTTATTTTTTATTGTATTAAACTCACGAGTAGCTTATTGAACTTCTTTTCAGTGTTTGCAAACTCTTTTGTATTTTATATTGTCATAAAAAAAATATAGTAAGCAATAGAAAGTAAACAGAGTTGCTGAAATATCAAAAATATGCTATTTTCAGGATAAAATGCCAATGGAGTTTACAATCAGACAGTTTAATAGTAGCAGAAAAGCCACGAGAAGTTTGGGTTGCAAGGTACTCTAACTCCTCTGTTCCGTTTACTAGAATATCGTCTATCAGACAGTCCAGGCCATATCACTGCCTCATCCTCGTCAATGCATAGTCCTTGCATCAACAAACATACTTGATACACTAAAGTAGGACAAAATATACTTGTATTGAGAAAAGAGTACCATTAGCCTGGTTACTTTCCTTGGTTACTTTACTGAGGAATTTATGTTGGTTAGCGAACAATGTTGAAAATAAATTTCCACCCATAAACTCGATTGGTCGGGCTAAAAGTTTATGTACACGTTTCATTGTCTTGATATTATATCATTCTTCATTTTAAATGAAACATAGCGGACGCCCACCAAATGGTGATTATTCTTGTCCATAGTATACCTCTAAATGAAAAGGTTTATCGAGTCTACTCAATACAATGAGCCAATAGACTAAATTGAATTAATTATTTATTTTAATGTACATCAGCACACAATTATAATATATATTCTTTAATATTAAAATTATTTGAGTTTGCGCCCATGGAATCAGTCATTCCCCTCGTGTCTCGGGGGTCGGCCCTTATAATTTTTATAAACAACACGATTATTATTGTAGATAATTTATAAAATTTATTGTTGTTTGCGCGGGCGCGGCATCTCTGGGTCACTGTATCGTCGATAAGTAAGATCGAAAAGAAAAACTCATGCTTATATGTAGAAGGTATTTATAATGAATGCAAATAAGCCACGCCATGTTCTTTATTAACTGCAATTATTGTTTTATTTTTTTCACCAAGTTTGAACCTTACGTGAGTACAGCGTGATTTGTTAGTCAGTGAAAAATAATATTTTCCTGTGATATATTGTATCGTTACTAGATATATATTTACACAATGAAAAAAACCGGTGTTGTAATTTGATATTTGAACATTAATATTTAATACGTAACAACCAAATAATGCGATCATAGGTAGCAATCTTTATCTATGATGTTAGTGGCTAAAATAAAGAGAAAAGTATCAGAACATTATTTACAGTAAAGAATACAATGGGAGCGAGTGTTGGGTGTTTTGTGGGAGCGTGTAAATGTAAGTCGAAATGCGTTCTTTTAAGGGAACGGAGAGGAGAACGTTCGCAAAACACATTCGTAAAGATAGCGTCAGAGTAAAAATTAACAAAAGTATGCTACGTTGGTTTGGACATATGGAAAGAATACCAGATGAAAGAATGACGTAGAAGCCGAGGAAGAGCAGGACAACTTTCACGATCAAGTCGATCGCGTGCTATCGGAATGTGTAGTGAGCATGTATGAAAAGCGTAATGAAAGTAGAGGTGCACCGTGCCATTCGGTCCTCTCTGTCTATCACGGAAGGAATGCGGCATGAAGATATAGAGAACATTGTATAAACATTCGTGCATTAATTAGATTTTTTCCCCTTTCAAATCAGATTAAATTCACCCTATTGACATAAAGACGACACAGAGCAGGGTGCGACCGCCTAATCCTCTAGCCATAACTCTATCAATAAGACTACTACTACTTGATTAACGAATGATAAACAATGAACAGTATGGATTTGATAACAGTGTCACCAACACAGTCATTCAAACAAAATGTTGTCCACCAACACATTATAAAATAGTAAAACGAAACGTAATATCGTCCAAACATCGATAAAATGTCTAGAGATATAGCTAGATTTGGCGGACGCACCTCTGGTGTGTTATTATTGTGTGGACCTTTAAGCTGAATCAGCACTTCACATAGGCCCTTTTTTTCCTTTATCGAATGACGTCGACCTCAATAATAACTTATTGTTCAATGTAGCATTCATCATAATGCGTAATTTACATGTAACCTCCGTGTGTCAGACGCTCGTACGTGATACGTCAACATGTTTGTATACCGATCGCTGCCGATAAACTCCTCGCCTTTAACATTAAAGGTCGAGCCTTGTTTAATTAGCACTATGCAAAACACGACAAGCTTGGGAATTTGCCCTGAGTATTTAAACATATTGAAATAAACGTTTTTACATTAAGGCTGATCTGATCTCACCAAAATGTGCTTTTGCACAATAAATCTCTTTTCACCATAATGTTTACTTTTGATTGAAGAAAAGCGAAATATTTTATGAGTTAAGTGCTAGATGACATCCTTGCAGTTAGAATACCTATCTAAATTTGTGTTTCTCTTTGTATACAGCAACTGATTTGACATTTTTAGGCGGCGTGCTAAGGACACATCCACTCCCCTTGTTTTTTTCTAGATCTTAAAAAAATCAGGGATCAGGAAAATCCACCGCTAGAAGACCTACTCAGTGAAGAGCCCACTGAACAGGTCAAAGGGCGGGAGCGTACCACGTCGAAACCCCCTCCCTCTTTTGTGGACAATGTCTGGGCAGTCTACTGCCCACTGTGTGCACAGTCAAATTATATCAGTGCACTCATTACTTAAGTGCATTTATAATGTACAATCTCTGTCTGTCGATTTGTCGGCGGACGCCCTTGACTGTCAAACATCTTGACCCTCGTATGAACGCGTTCGTGCTATATTATAAGAGTCAGTCGTCTGCAAGTGTGCAGATACCTGCTATGACTAATTACAGTTTATGCGAGATCAAATTCTTGTAATATATTGTTTTATATTGAGTAAGGTCATAATTCGTTACTAATATATATGCTAGCAATTTAATGTTTTCACTTATTAATGCTTTAATTAACTCATCGTGGACGAGATAGTAGACTGTTGCTGTATTTATTAATAGTAATTAAGATGCAGCATCCAATAACAATAATTGCATATAAAACAGTTCGAAAGACAATATGGCAGTGAGAGCTAGTGTTGCTACATTATAACATTTATAAAGTTTTTTCATTTTATTATTATATTCGTTGCCAAGTCGTTCTGAACAATAACCAACATTAAAACAGGATAGTGTGGAGTTTGTCGTTGATTTATTTTCCTGTGTAGGACGGTGTATTTTCTTTATGAGCGAGTGTGGTGACACGGTATGATCTCTGCGGCTATCTCTCTTCTATAAATATGCGTTTTATCTTTGACCTTACACATTACAGATGTTTTGCTATGATTATTATTGCATTTAAACTAGTCTATTACTCGTGCAGGGTGATCTTGAAATAGAAATTGCTATCTGACATTATCGGTGAAAACTATTTGATCTAAAAAAATGGTAGGTATTTATCTAAAAAAAACGAAAAAATATTTTTGCCGTCGAATGCACTCGCAATTGATCAGGTTTATATTTAATTTTACATGTACAGGTAACGCTTTGAAAGTAGAGTTGAAATCAACAACCGATATTTGTCATATTGTGGCGACTCGTACACAATTTCTCCTTCGGAGAAGGGTCTAAAAAGTGTATGTAATCAAAAATGTGGTTGTAGTGACGCGACTTTGTACCGTTCGGTCCCCAGAACAAGCAGGCGTACTTCCCGATATTCGGCGAGCAGCACCCGCGGCCGCCGCGCTCGCGGCCCAAGGACGCGCAGGGCACCGTGCGCGCCTGCGCCGCCTGCCACCACCACCTGCTGCAGCAGTGGAACGCCTACCAGGTACGACCCTAACAACTATATATACATACCATACTAGTTAAGACTACGAGATCTAGAGACGGAACACTATATATTACACACGACACGAAGTATATACTTGTCTACATAGTATACAACGAAGTCGCTTTCTCTGTCCCTATATACCTATGTATGCTTAATTCTTTAAAACTACGCAACGGATTTTGAAGCGATTTTTTTTTTCATAGATAGAGTGATTAAAAAGGAAGGATTTTATGTATAATGCAAGACCACGGTTGCCGAAGTTGCTGGCGGAAAGCTAGTAATATATAAAAAGGAGTCATTTAGACAAACAAAATTATGTTACAAAATAAAAAATATATAAATGAGCTAAGAACAGCGCCATCTAGCGATCTATGTTCCTTGCGGGGTTGACAGAGGAATATTGGTATCTGCTATAAAATAAATAGTTAACCATGGCAGGTCTTGTGTGACAAAAAACCTCTACTTTTAATTAGTAAACTAATCATAGGATTTTGTGGCTCAAAATCAGAATATCTAATGTTATTTCCATGTTAATTTTATTTTATGTGGAATTTCGTGATTTTTTTTCACTAGCGAAACTTAATACAACCATGATCTCTTTGCTATTAGTAACATGGCAACAAACCTCGATCCCATTCAGACTAAAGTACAGCCTCCTAGAAAATCGTAGCAACAAGTGAATTATCTAGAACTGAGCTATATAGACTGACCCATCGTAATTTCGTTACAAAAAAAAAATCAAGAATATCACCCTTATTTCCAGCACGTAAAGTCTATTTAATAAACTAAAATACGGATATAAAATGGTTTCTTGGTAAAATGCCATATGACTACCGACGCAGTACCACTAAATTCTCAATCCAAGTATTTACTTGTAATGTTAGCGCAATTCTATCAAGGCTGTTGAGGTCATGACGTATTAAATCGTGATTTGTACATAAAGTATAGATACCCAAGTCCGGTGTTAATAAGCGAATTACGTTATTTGTGAATAATGCCTTTTCATGCAACTGCCGTTTCGCAGTTTCACATATACATAGATAAGATAACGTCCCGAAGGTGCTGTCTTAAATTTGACCTGTTTAACAGATTGCCATCAAATGAATCGGACGGGCTCTCGGTTTTTAGTTATTTTTAGTTCGAAATAATCAAATTATTAATCAAAACGAATAAAAAAGATAAAAAAATTAATTTCGTGTTGATTTATTGCGTAAGTACATTATAAGGCAAGAGAAAGCAAGAGAGATTTTCTATAATGTAAAGTAAGCCAAGTGATCAGTGTAGCGTCCATCATTCATAGGCTTTTATAAACTATGTCTCGGTGTATTTATCATCTCATTCTAACCGATTTGTACAAAACCTCAATGAAGACACTATCGTGTGTTTAACTTTTTAGAATAGGCTCTGTTTTGGGAGGAACATATTTGTTTTTTATGCACATATTAGTTGAGAACTTACTTATTAATTTTAACTACTACATCTTTTGATAAACATTAAGATCAATATCGCACACAGATGTATTCTATTCCAATTAATTCCTTTATTATTTGACCTCTGAAACGTGTACCAACCGGATCAAACTGCTAATTATAATTTGTAATAATCATATTTTTAACAGTGTCCTATCAATGTCCAATTAAAATAAATCCAGTTTATATTATTATAATGTCATATTTGAATAAATGATAATTTCCATAATTAAATTAATTTAAATACAACAACTCGATTCGACTAATGAAAACTAGTAACTAAAGTATAGGTAATAAGTTCTATTATTCGACTGAGAACTGTATATTCATTGCATACGAAATGCATACACTTCATCGTCATTTATCTATAGTTCGAAAGTAAAATTTAAATTGTTTGAAAAAGGTTGATATGCCCCATTATGAAGTAACCTGAGAATAGTAACTAAATAATTATTTTTTCTGTAATAATTTCAAGTTTTCATATTTTCTGTAATCATTGGTTGCGCGTCGAAAAAATCTATCCAATAATAAAGTAACTGTATATAACATCTTAATGTCAATTTTAGAGTTTTAGATATACGTACCGTTCTAATGCAATGCACTGAATATTTACTCAAGCAGACAGATTGGTGCTGTGATATTCATTTATTTATTGTACGATAAACAGAGTTTAATATAGGTTTACATTAGTTATGTTACAAAATTAATTATTGTTATCTCAGAAAAATGTTTAAGGTGTACAAACTTTAGATCTATTGTCTAGACAGGTTATCGTGTAATAAAAACGAATGTTACATGTCGATAACCCAAATGACTTTAAAATATATAATAAATGACAAACAACAAAATAACTTGTAAACAAAATACTAATAAGATTATATAAAATTATATTACGCTTAAATTTTAATTGTTTTTAACAATTTACCTAATTGGAATTAACGGCTTCTTTAAACATAAATTGATAATATTTATATAAGTTGAACTGTCATTTCATTTCTCATAAGAACTGCTAATGGTAAGGTGGATGTACAAAAAAAACGATCCAGTTGTATTATTAGAATTAATATTTAATTAACATCCATAACAGAGTAACGAATTTTAAATACGTTTTTATCTATTTATATCAAATTTGATAGAATTTGTTAATGAAATAGTCATACATGTCGTAATTTTTTCTAAGCGAATTTACATTTTGTGACTACATTCGTCTTAGTATAACAATAAATATTATTTACATGCTATATTATATGAATAAGAACGGTTTCATGCTTTCAAAAGAAGTCGATACGGTTTAAATAAGGCGTGAAAAATAAATACTCAAGTAGTCCATCTGACACGCATTAATCAAAAACAATGCCTTTTTGTTAACCGTAAATAGACTACACACCATTATTTGCCTTTCAAATTTACACAGATGATTTGAAGTAAGCTCTGCCACCGCGGCAGTTCGTTCTTGCCCTAAATGTATTCACTCAACTTTATGGAGATTCCTCTCAACCGTTGTGATATTTAACTTTTAAATCGACAACTGATTCATATGGAGATTGAATTTTTAGCGACGGGTCACTTCGCATCTTCGCTATAGATGAGCACGACGAAACGTAGCCATTATCCTTAAAAACTTAAAAAAAAACTATACACCGAACTGTTGAATTATTCATAAACCGCAGCCACTGGCCACGTAATTAACATAACTATTTACACCCACGTAATGCACCAATAAAAATCCACTTTTGCGCCATGACCTAACGCATAAGGAGTTAATTTTATTCATACATAACAGCGACGACGGATGACGTGCTCGTCGACACACTTCGCTTTCACAACAATATCATCTATGTAAACAGTCGTGCGCGAACGGTTTGATAGTGTACTTATTATCATAAGGAGGAAAGTCTCCTGATGACCCAAAAATACTATCACTGCGTATAATGTCAACTGCGCGCTCAGTCGTATGTGGATACGATTAGCGCGCGAACGCCTCGCCGCGGCGGTACGCGCATCTGACGGTACGCGCTGTACGTATCCGACCGTAATCGGTGATATCGATAACGTTTAGATTATGTTTCGAGTGGAAGGTTTTTAACAAAAGAAATGTATTGACTGAAACATGTCGCGTTTATGATAACAATGTTCAGTTTGTGGTGCAAATGTGATGTGGTCCCGAAGCCAATGTTGAGTGCAGTTCATATGAGGGTATCGCAGTGTTAGTGTGTGATACAGATTGTGTTACAGTGGATCGCTATCGAGGATTATAATGTTAGCACGCAAGGAGGATAACGTGCCTGTTAATTACAAGGTATACACATATTTTTTAAATATTGATAGATTTTTTTTTTAATCACAAAGCTCTTGCGCTCAATATGTGACTAATGAACATCTAATACAGAAGATGCGACTTATTTCTCTAACTATTGTTTTTGTAAAGTTATCTATCAGGCACGGCGCGAACGTGCGATCGCTCGCCGCCGGTTTGAACTAGTTTTGAGGTTATACTAATTGACATCGGCTAAGCTTAGGAGGTGTGGCGAGATGTTTGCAAGAGAGGGTCACGATCATTGCGAGGATCTCAGGGGTGTGGTTTTAAATGTACCGCCGGCTTGCACTTTATTTTACATACTAAACGATAATTGCAATATAAGTATCATATTCTAGAAATAAATTTTCTCAGTATGAAATAAAATAGTAAGAAAAAAGATCCTCATTAGTTTGTTGACAATTTTTCTCAGTATAAACCCTCTCGCCATAGATTCGTAAACCAATAGCGTAGCTCCTCAAGTATACACAAAATGCGGGACTTCAGATTGTTAACAATAACCGCCTACGTTACATACAAGTTTATAAAAATACTCTAGCCGCCTCTTAGATGACTATTAACTTTCACCATTAGGATTTTTGAAGTCTAGTTTTACTTTTTCATGATCAGCCATAAATTACGTCACACCTTAGTGAGAATGTGAAATAGTGTGCCAAGAGGTGAAAATAAATGTTGCGACGTCACATTTCAAAATCTTCTGTTCAAAAACTGTATTTAATTTTTAAACAAAATAGTTTCACAAGTGTAGTTTTAAATGGTTATTTAGTGTAAAATATGTAAGTCACACCAGGCAAAGGGAGACTCACAAAGATCAACTGTGACAAGGAGGGCAAAAGCGTCAGAAAATCGTATTGATTGATATGTGTAACGTAATATATGGTTAGTCGCTTGTTTTCTGTAGAGGGTTTTCTCTCGCATCGGGTGTATAGATTTGATTTAACTTGAAAATATGATAAAGTTTGAGCCATAATATTAGTTGTTTCGTGTATTACGCTTATAAATAATTTCTAAGTACAATGTAAACAGATACAGATAACAATTTTATGAACTGCTATTACAATTTTCGCAGTGTTTTAAATTGTTTATTTGAAAGTAGATCGTCTCAGTAATGCTATAATAATGTAAATACTCAGACCTTCTATTTAGAAGGCACGTAATACTAAACCGTGTAATACATATCGACGTCTTTCCGTTATGGTCCGTTAACCCAT